CCCTGATGCTGATGCTGACTCTGACACTGATGCTGGCCCTGACCCTGACGCTGATGCTCATGCTGGCTCTGACACTGATGCTGGCCCTGGCCCTGACACTGGCCCTGAACCTGATGCTGATGCTGGCTCTGATGCTGATGCTGACCCTGACGCTGACACTGACCAATGCCAGTTGCCCCTCCCCTGGTGGCCCCCTGACCCCAATCCCACACCCCCGGCTACCCAACCAACACCACTGGCTCAATATTTCTATTCCTGCCTCCCCACCCCCATCAGCAGGTGGCCATTTGGTCCCAATGGCCCGGTTTGCTCCCTGTTGTATCCCAGAACAGGTTTCAGCACACAGGCAGTGCTCAATATGTGCTGAAGGGAGACAGGCGGGAGGGTCTGGTGGAGGACCTGAGAAGGTGACATGGAACCAGAGCAAATGGAGGGAGGAAAATAGGGGCCATAGGAGGAGGTGCCGCCGGAGGTGCTGGGGCCGGCACCCTTCCACCTGTGCCTCTGCTCACCTGGACGGGGCCCTCCAGGGACTTCCCTCTGCATGCTCCATGGCTCCTCGCCTCGTTCCAGATGGGAGATCACGTCTGGCTTGTGCAGTGGAGGTCCTGCTTGTGGGGAGAAAATGGGGCTGGGCATGCTGCGGCTCTCCAGGCCCAGCTGACCTCAGGGGCCGCCCCTAACAAGGACAATGCCTGTGAAGTGGACACTCTCTCTGGGAACAGAAGGTCCTCTGGGCCAAAAGCAGTGAGGGTGTCAGACTGGAACCCAAATACCAGTGCACACTCTGAAGACCCCACGTGTGCTGACGTCCTTACTTTATTACTCGAGGACTGTTCCAGAGCCAGCTGGGCTCCAGGGTCCCACCTTCCTCTCTTCTCTCCCTGCCCCCACCCTAGGACCAGGGGAAATGCCAAGCAAGGATGCTACCAGCTCCTACGCTGTCCCCTGGGGACTTCTGGCGTGGCCAAGGCCCCTGGCCATGAGTGCCCCAAGGCATAGGTCTTGCTTCCCACCCCATGACATATCTGGCACCAGGGCTGGCACTGAAGGGATCCTCCTTAATATCTACCACGCAGAAGAAGGCTGACAGCAGACGCCCAGCCTGGGGCTGGGGGGATCTTACCTAGGGCAAGAAGGTTCTGGTAGTTCTCCAACATCACATCCCGGTACAAGGCCCTCTGAGGGGAGTCTAGCTGACCCCACTCCTCCTGGGTGAAGTCCACAGCCACATCCTTGAAACTCACCGATTCCTGAAATGACATATAGGTTCTCACTCACCCAGGACTGATTCTGTGTCCATGGTTCCAAAGGAGCCAGAGATTGATTAACGACCCTACAAGTAAAGGGTTAACCTCAGGTGACCTTCTCCCATGCACAGAAGGTTGTGCTGTAGACACTGACCATGACTGAATTTGGGGACCAGGGGCAGGGAGAGGGGCTGGGAATTGGCATGCATTCCCACACCACCTTCTAGACTGGGAAAGCAGGTCTGAATAGACATTGCGGGGTCTTGGCAACTTGAGGTGGGACCCACATGGCTATTGTATCACGCTCTAAGTCCTGGGTGAGATGCTATGCTTCATGGGGTCAAGAATTTCAAACTTAAAAATTTGAGAGAATATTAATAGTACAAAAACCCCAGCAACTCTATTCAAAGCTCACTAATGCAAAAGGATCCGAACCCAGACTAGATACCGTTATTACACTCTAAAGAAGGAAACCTTGTATATATATCAGCAAGTTCTGTGCCCCAAGGGATCAAGAGAGGCTACCTGTAGTCCTCACCTGACTGCCTTCCAATCCTTCCCGCCTGCTCCCCCTGGGCCTGGGCATCCTGGCCACCACCCAACTCCAGACTTGCTTTGATCCTTGAAAGGATCAAATAGATGCCAAGGAATTTCAGTGCATCCCAGAACAAATCCCAGAAACATTTAAGAAATTCCAAAAACCTACTCAACAAAGTAAAATTCACAATGTCCAGCATCCAATCAAATAACTAAAAGGTGAAAAACATTAACGAAATCAGAGGAATTAAGAGTACATTAGAACAGTATGTGTTTACCTCAAAAGAAGTCATTAAGGGAGGAAAAGAGAAACAAAAAAGACATAAGACATAGAAAACTAATAGCAAGGCTGGGTGGGGTGGCTTATGCGTGTAATCCCAGCACGTTGGGAGGCCAAGGTGGCAGATCACCTGAGGTCAGGAGAATTTCTTGAACCCAGGAGGTGGAGGTTGCAGTGAGCCAAGATTGCGCCACTGCACTCCAGCCTGGGTGACAAGAGCGAAACTCTGTCAAAAAAAAAAAAAAAAAAGGGGGGGAAAAAGAGACATGTAAATCCAACTATATTAATAATTACACTAAATGCGAATAGTTTAAACACTCCAATTAAAAGGTGGAGATTGTCAAACTGAATTAAAAAAGCAAGCTACAGAAACCTACTTTACACACAAAGATAGGTTAAAACTGAAAGGATAGAAAAAGATAAACCCTGCAAATACTAATTTAAAAAAAAAAGCTGAACTGCCTATAGTAATAGCAAAGTAGATTTCAGAGAGACGACTATCAGAGATAAAGAGAATATTACATAATGATAAAAGGCTTAATTCGTTAAGAACTCATGGCAATCCTAAATATAAATGTATCTACTAAAAGAGCTTCAAAATACATAATGCAAAAACTGACAGAACAATTGAAAACACCATCATTCAACTTGACTTAACAGATATTTACGTAACACTCTAGCCAACAAAGGCAGAATACATATTTTTCAAGGGCATGTGGAACATTTACCAAGATAAACCACACTCTGGGAAATAAAATAAATCTTGGCAGATTTGAAAGGCTTTAAATCATACGAAGTTCATTCTCTGACGACAATAGAATTAAATCAGAAATCCATAATAGAAAGTTATCTGGAAAATGCCCTAAATATTAGGAAATGAAACAACACATTCTGAAATAACATATGGTTGAAGAAGAAATCACTAGGGAAATTAGAAACTATTTTCAGCTGAATAAAAATGTAACATAACAAAAGTTGTAGGATATAGATGAGGCAGTGCTTAGAAATTCACAGTGCTGAATGCTATACAAGGAAAAAAAAGTGTCAAATCAATATCTATGTTTCAATCTTAAGACACTAAAGTAAGTAAAATAAGTTTCAATCTTAAGACACCAAGGAGATAATAAGGATCAGAAATCTATGAAATGGAAAACAGAAAATAGAGAAAATCAATAAAACAAAAAAATGGGTTTTTGAAAAGATCAATAAAATTGATAAACTACATGGCTCAGCAATTTCACACCTAGGTATTTATGCAAGAGAAATTAAAATGCACAGCCATACGTGTACTCAAATATTTATAGCGGGTTTATTTGTAATAGCAAAAGCCTATGAGCGACTAAATATCCATCAGCTGGTGAATGGATAAGCAGACTATGGAATATCCATCTAATGGAGTAATGGGCTGAATTGTATATCCTTCACCTCAATTTCCTATGTCTCAATCCTCAGTAACTCCGAGAGGTTTTTTTTTTTTGAGACATAGTCTCACTCTGTCACCCAGGCTGGAGTGCAGTGGTGCAGTATCAGCTCACTGCAACCTCTGCCTCCTGGGTTCAAGAGATTCTCCTGCCTCAGCCTCCTGAGTAGCTAGGACTATAGGCACACACCACTACACCCAGCTAAATTTTTGTATTTCTAGTAGAGACAGGGTTTCACCATGTTGACCAGGCTGGTCTTGAATTCCTGACCTCAAGTGATCCACCCAACTTAGCCTCCCAAAATGCTGGGATTACAGTCATGAGCCACTGCATCTGGCCTGGAGAGAGGTTCTTTGAAGAAGTAATTAAGTTGAAATGAATTCAATACAGTGAGCCCTAATCCAATATAACTGGTGTCCTCATAAGAAGAGGAAATTTGGACACAGACATAGAGGAGGTAAGACCATGTGAAGATGTACGGAAAAGGTGGCCATCTACAAACCAAGAAAAGAGGCCTCAGAAGAAACCAACCCTGCTGACACCTTGATCTCAGACTTCTTTTTTTTTTTCTTCTTTGAGACAGAGTCTCACTCTATCACCCAGGCTGGAGTGCAGTGGCGCGATCTAGGCTCACTGCAAGTTCTACCTCCTGGGTTCATGCCATTCTCCTGCCTCAGCAGCCCATGTAGCTGGAACTACAGGCGCCCGCCACCATGCCCGGCTAATTTTTTTGTATTTTTAGTAGAGACGGGGTTTCACCATGTTAGGTAGGATGGTCTTGATCTCCAGACCTCGTAGTCCGCCCGCCTCAGCCTCCCAAAGTGCTGGGATTACGGGCGTGAGCCACCGTGCCTGTCCTTGATCTCAGACTTCTTGCCTCCTGAATTGTAATAAAATTAATTTCTGTTGTTTAAGCCCTCCTGCCATACTTTGTATGGCAGCCCTAGCACACTAATACAAATGGAATATTACTCACCAATGAAAAGGAACAAACTACCGATTCACACAACAACATGGATAAACTCAAAAGCATATGCTAAGCGAAGTAAAGCAGAGACAAAAGACCACATAGTATAAATTCCATATGAAATCCTTAAAGAGGAAAATCTATAGCAAAACTATAGTGGTTACCAAGGGGAGAAGGGAGAGGACTGAATGCACAGGGGCATGAGGACATTTTTGGGTCATGGAAATGTCCCATATTATGATTGTGGTGCTGGTTACACAACTGTATATGTTTGCTCAACCTCATCAAATTGTATACTTAAAATTGCACAGTTGTGCTGTATATAAATTACACCTAAATAAAACCTTACCCCGCAAAACACTGGATTTCAGATGAGGAGGTAGAGATGAGGACAAATGCTGAGAACACACCCCTAACTGAGGCATGCAGGCATGAAGGACGATGATAGTCGAGGGAAGGAGAAAATGGGCTGAAACAAAGCTCCAAGCTGGGTGTGGGGGTGCACACCTTGGTCCCAACTACTCAGGACGCTGAGGTGGGTGATTTGCTTGAGCCCAGGAGTTGAAGGCTGCAGTGAGCTATGATCATGCCACTGCACCCCAGCCTGGGCGACAGAGCAAGACTCTGTCTCAAAGAAAAAAAGAAAGAAAGAAAGAAAAACAAAAAATAGCCCCAAAGGTATCAGAATATGGTGCTGGCCAGTGAGGCTGTCAGAGGCTACATGGCTTCAGTGTGGGGAGCATCAACCAGCAAGAGTAGGGTAGGGTCTGAGGCCCGCACAGGCCTTTTTGGTGGGTATTTCTGGTCCACTGGGAGAAGCCCATGTCTAATCTGTCTTCATTCTGCAGGAAAGGGAATATAAAGCCCAGAGAGTATGTGTTGGAATCAGATGCCGATGTGGTAATGACACTAGCAGAGAAGTCAGAACAGACCACACAAGATGTCCCAGGAGACAGAACAACTTGAACTGTGAGTGTGAATGAGACTGTCAAGAGAAAATGCCAAAGGCGATGTGTACTCAGGACAGTCAACTGGTTATTCAAGGATCTAACAAACAAATATTTTACAAATAGGAATAACACATGCACAAGGGCCCTACCACCTAGAGGGAGCTGCACAGACACATACAGACATACATACATGCACACACACATTTTTTTTTTGCTGAACCATTTGAACGTAAGTTGCAGACATCATGACGTCTCACTCTACAGTCTTCAACTTGTATCTCCTGTGGATATTCTCTTACATAGTCACAGTACTATTATCATACGCAATAAATTTACTATTGATATAATATGATCCAAGATACAGCCCATTTTCAAATTTCCTCAGTTGTCCCAAACTGCCCTTTTTCAATTTTTTTGGATCTATACCCTAATCAAGGAACATGCATTGCATTTGACTGTCAAGTTTCTTGAGAACTATAAAGCATCGTGGCACACTACAGAAGTGAGGCACATCTCACAATACACGTTTTACAGCTGTTTCTAGCTGTCAATAATCAGCTGTCACCTCTTTTGAGTGGCAGACTGACAAAATCACAAAATGCTAAAAACCAACCAACCAAACAAAAAAACCCATAGACCCCTCATCCCTCCAGATCTTTCACTCTACTGTGCTCTTTGTCAACTGCACCCTTCTAAATACTACCATGGGGTAGGGCGGTTGCCATAGAGAAACAAAATGAGGAACAGAGTCCACAGTCTGTAAAAGGAGGGATCTGGGTCCCACGTGGCTGCAGAAGTGCCCAGGGCCAATTCCTTGCTGATCCATCAGATTCTATAAATCTCCAGGACTCTCCATGAAGGCCCCACGCCAGGGGCCAGGCACAGAGGAAAGCACACAGGGATGCCTCCCCTACCACCACTGTTAACCCAGTGCTGCAATCCAGGTCTTCCTCAGCTGCTGCACGTGCCCCTGTCCGATTCCATCCCAGTAAATCAATCGTGCAAACATCCTGCACCAATCCCTGGCCAGCATGTGGAGAGACAAAGTGACCCCATTTGAGCCGTCATCTACTTTCTCAGGTTCCACTAAAACCACTCCTCAGAGCTCCCAGGACAGTGCTGGGCAGAGAGATCCCCAGGAACTGACCCACTGAATCGGGTTGGAGGAGACACTCCATAGAGTACATCTCCAGGCACACCTCGGGCAACATGTGGACTCTTCAACTGGAGCTGTTTCCACTGCCCAGAGCTTCCTCAGGACTGGCCAGCAGGTACCCAGGAGAAGGTGTGTGGAAGGCTGATGATCCAGGGCTGGGGAGGAAATGTGCCAACCCTCTTCATAAAGAAGGAAGAACACTCAGCCACTCACCTTGGACCTGGCTTCGGGAAGACCCCAACCCGATATATCCTCGGGATTCTCTTTCAGGGAAACAGCAGGATCCTGAGAGGAAAGAGCTGGGGAAGGAGAAATGAGTCAAGGCCACGGCTACCAGGCTCACAGCTGAGCTTAAAGCCCACCTGTCGTGGCACAAGTGAGAATCAGAGAGGAGGCCAAATCTGCCAGCAAGGCCAGGTGGGGAACAAGCCCCAACAGCTAGCACCAACTGATATAGCATCGAGGGATAATTCTGCCTGTGTCTCAGACACTCCAATTCATGAAGAAAAGAGCTGCTATCCCCCAATCAAGCACGTCTGAGTGGGAACAAATGGTTGGGCACGGGGAAGAAAGAAGCAGGAGGCCAGGCGCGGTGGCTCACTCCTGTAATCCCAGCACTTTGGGAGACCGAGTCGGGCGGATCGCTTGAGCTCAAGACCAGCCTGGGCAACATGGCGAAACCCCGTCTCTACTAAAAATACAAAAATTAGCCGGGCGTGGTGGCGCGCGCCTGCAATCCCAGCTACTTGGGAGGCTGAGGCGGGAGAATCGCTTGAACTCGGGAGGCAGAGGTTGCAGTGAGCGTAGATCAAGCCATTGCACTCCCGCCTAGGTGAGAGGGTGAGACTCCATTAAAAAAAAAAAAAAAAAAAAGATGCTGGATGCTTCTGGGAAACTGGCCTGATCTCTCTGAGTGTCAATATCCTCAGGTGCAAATCCACAGACACGCTGACTACAAGAGCGAAGCTGTACCTGTCTTCTCGGGCTCCGGGGCAGGGATCTCCATGGCCTCCACGGCAGCCTCCCCGGGAGGAGTGGGCAGCTCTGTACCTTCCAGGACCCAGGGCAGGCCCAGAGGAGCGATTCCTGCTCCTGGGGCTCAGGGGCCTGCAGCGGAGCCTCGCGGGGCGGCCACGCGCTCACAGCTGCACGATCACACGCACGGAGCCCCCTCCCCGCGCCTGGCTGAGGCGGGGCTCAGGCCGGCTCCGCAGATACCCACCCACTCCCCACACCGGACTCAGCCCCATGCCCGGCTCACACACGCCCCGGCACAGCCCCGCCACACGCTCCTCCGGGCGAACCCGCGCTCGGAGACCAGGGCCAGGCCTAAGGTTCCGCGGCCCGGAGCCATCGGACGCCGAGCGACCAGCAGATAGGTCCCGAGGCGGACAGAGACCGCTGACGGTCTGAGGGACCGGCAAGTGGACAAACCGAACTCCCACAAAAGGACGGCTACTGCCACAAAGAGCAGCAGGCAGCCGCCGCTGGAAAGTGCGCCTGCGCAGAACGGGCGCAAACTACACCTCCCGGGAGCCTTTGCGCCGCGCAGGCGTCAGACTCCATTTCCTAGAGGGAGTCCGGGCCGATGCTGGAGTCCGGGCCGATGCTGGAGTCCGGGCCGATGCTTGAGTCCGGACGCCAACCAGTATGTAGCATACCCTTCTAGGAAATGTAGTTCCTGGGCCAACAGCCGGGACCTCGGGCAACTGCCACGCTCTTGCGGGCGAATGTAGCCGTGAATCTAGATGTGCAGATCAGTGCAGTGCCGCTGAATGGGTGTCTAATTGCGAGGATATTGGGAGGGCGGTGCCCAGGAACTGGGATTTGTCCTGTTAGTTCGGCCACGTCCCCAAGTGGAGTCGAGTGGGTTCCTGCCCACATCCGTCTGCAGGAAAGACTCAAGCCCCTGGTCTTAGGGATATTGGGAGTGGTGGGCCTGGCCTCGAGGGGTTTTCCAGGGGCCCTGCCCCCACTCCCCTTTCTCAAGTCACATATCTGAAGCCCACGGGCGGAGGTCCCCAGAGTTGGGAGAGCTCTGGCCTAGCCCCTCCCAGGGGGCTCTGTCCACAGTTCACCCTTGGGGCGGGAAAGGAAGGTCTGGGTGGCGGCCCAGTCGTGGCGGCACAGGGCTGTGCCATGAACACAGTGATGATGTCGGCGTCAGGAACACTGAATATGTACTGAGCACCAACCACATGCCAGGCCTACTTCAAGAGCTTGGAGTACATTTTTCTGGCAGAATGCTCACAGCAACCCAAGGAGGTTTGCTAACCATTATTATTCCATTTGGAAGATGAGGAAGTTGTGGTACAGGTGCGTGGGGTAACGTGTCCCAAGTTACACAGCCAGAAGTAGGAGTCCAGCACCGAAGTGCAGTGCCACGTTCCTACTGAGAGGTGGTCTGGCGTGGGGCGGGGTGGTGCACATTCCAAACCCTTCAGCCTCCCACCTTAACCGCAGCTTAGGCTTGGCCACAGGCTCTCGCTTGACATCTGTGTCCACTGCCCACATCAGCACAGCTGTGCCCAGACCTCCCTTGCCCAGTGCAGCGCCCGTGTTTGATTTTGTTTTGAGACTGGGTCTCACTCTGTGGCCCAGGCTGGAGTGCAGTTGCACAATCACAGCTCACCGTAGCCTCAACCTCTCCAGCTCAAGCTATTCTCCCACCTCAGCCTCCCGAGTAGCTGGGACTACAGACATGTACCACCACGCCCAGTTAATTTTTGTATTCAGCACCCAATTTTAATAGCAACCCAGGACAAGAGCCTTGGTGGGGTGTTGAACTGTTGATTATACAGTGTATGAGTCTTTTTCTACGTGTGTAAGTTTGTGTATATGTTTGTTTCTCTGTGTATCTTACAGATGTAGGTGTTTGCTCTTGCCTCACGTTTCTTTCTTTCTTTCTTTTTTTTTTTTTTGAGACAGTGTCTCGCTGTGTCGCCCAGGCTGGAGTGCATTGGCGTGATCTCGGCTCACTGCAAGCTCCGCCACACCATTCTCCTGCCTCAGCCTCCCGAGTAGCTGGGACTACAGGTGCCCGCCACCACGGCCTGCTAATTTTTGTATTTTTAGTAGAGACGGGGTTTCACCGTGTTAGCCAGGATGGTCTCGATCTCCTGACCTCGTGATCCACCTGCCTTGGCCTCCCAAAGTGCTGGGATTACAGGCCTGAGCCACCACGCCCAACTGGGTCTGCATCTTTCTGTGTAAGTGCGCATGTGTACATGTGTGCCTCACTGTGTCTACACAGATCTGAATGTATGACTGGTGTATCTGTGCATGTAGCTCTGCAGTTCATCGCTATAGACTGGATGGTTGGGAGTATCATCTATGTCTGCTTGCCTGTGTTCTGTGTGATAGTGCATAGATGCCTTGTGCCGGTGACTATGGATGGTGTCTTGTTCAGGTGAATCTGTAGACCTGTGTGTGTGTGTGTTTCTCTCAGAGTTGTAGTTTGTGTGAGATGGTATGCACCTCTCTTCATTTGTGGGGTTGTAGACCTCGCAGGTCGAGTTGTGGCTGTGTGTGTGCCTGCATGTGTTCTTCTGTGTTGACTTCCAGGGCTCATCAGCGTCAGCATGTGCATCCTTGTGTACATGTGTATGTCACTGTGGGCCTCATGGACCCCCTGTGTCTGTAGGAAAGCCAGTGTGAGCCCAGGGATTCTAAATTGAGTGCTCTGTCTCCTGCGTCTGTGCCCAAGTACAAAGGCTATAGGGACAGGGATGTGTCCAGCCTGAAGGGAAGAGTGGAAGGGAGGATGCTGTTATTGCTTTCTGCTGACTATAGACTTCTGAGGCTGGGAAAGGCATTTACCGCTAGGCCGTTTAGCTTAAGATTCTCACTTACATAAGCAGTTCCAGGTCGATTCCTAAGTTCTCTGATTCCTCAATTCTCGAGGGTTGACCAGCAGGGCTTTGTGAAGGCCCAGTGAAATATGGATATATATGCCTTTTTTTTTTTTTTTTTTCCCTGAGATGGAGTCTCACTCTGTTGCCCAGGCTGGAGTGCAGTGGTGCCATCTCAGCTCACTGCAACCTCCGCCTCCTGGGTTCAAACGATTCTCCTGCCTCAGCCTCCTGAGTAGCTGGGACTACAGGTATACGCCACCATGCCCAGATAGTTTTGTTTGTTTGTTTGTTTTTTTTTTCCCTGAGATGGAGTCTCACTCTGTTGCCCAGGCTGGAGTGCAGTGGTGCCATCTCAGCTCACTGCAACCTCCGTCTCCTAGGTCCAAGCGATTCTCCTGCTTCAGCCTCCTGAGTAGCTGGGATTACAGGCACACGCTACCACACCCAGCTAATTTTTGTATTTTTAGTAAAGATGGGGTTTCCCCATGCTGCCTCCCAAAGTGCTGGGATTACAGGCATGAGCCACCATGCCCAGCCTATATATGCCATTTTAAAAGCAAAAAGCATTTTTAAAGTGGAAGATTTTATCTTTGTGTGGGGTTTGTTTGTTTGTTTGTTTTTGAGACAAATTTTCACTCTTGTTGCCCAGGCTGGAGTGCAATGGCATGATCTCGGCTCACCGCAACATCTGCCTCCCAGGTCCCAGTTCAAGCAGTTCTCCTGCCTCAGCCTCCTGAGTAGCTGGGATTACAGGCACACGCTACCACACCCAGCTAATTTTTGTATTTTTAGTAAAGATGGGGTTTCCCCATGTTGGCCAGGCTGGTCTCGAACTCCTGACCTCGTCACCCACCCACCTTGGCCTCCCAAAGTGCTGGAATTACAGGTGTGAGCCACCGCGCCCAGCGTGTGGGGTTTTTTTTTGAGATGGAGTCTCACTCTGTCACCCACGCTGGAGTGCAGTGGTGCGATCTTGGCTCACTGCAACCTCTGCCTCCTGGGTTCAAACGATTCTCCTGCCTCAGCCTCCTGAGTAGCTGGGACTACAGGTATACGCCACCATGCCCAGATAGTTTTGTTTGTTTGTTTGCTTTTGTATTTTTAGTAGAGATGGGGTTTCACCATGTTGGCCAGGCTGGTCTCAAACTCCTGAGCTCATGTGATCTGCCTGCCTTGGCCTCCCAAAGTGCTGGGATTACAGGCGTGAGCCACTGTGCCCATCCTAAAGTGGAAGATGTTAAAAACCAAAACACAGCAATGTCTTACTACATTAAATACTTGGTGTCACAACTGAAAAAATATTTTATTTATTTATTTATTTACTTACTTACTTACTTACTTACTTACTTACTTAGAGATAGTGTTTGGCTCTGTGGCCCAGGCTGGAGTACAGTGGTGCGATCTTGGCTCACTGCAACCTTGGCCTCCTTGGCTCAAGGGATCTTCCCACCCCAGCCTTCAGAGTAGCTGGGACCACAGGGGTGTGCCACCATGCCCAGCTACTTTTGTTATTTTTTGTAGAGACAGGATTTCCCCATGTTAGCCAGGCTGGCGTCAAACTCCTGATGAGTTCAAGGGATCTGTCCGCCTTGGCTTCCCAAAGTACTGGGATTACAGGCATGAGCCACAGCATCCTGCCTGAAAAAATATTTTAAATAACTGTTCTAGCCCTGGCATGGTGGCTTACGCCTGTAATCCCGACACTTTGGGAGACTGAGGCAGATGGATTGCCTGAGCGCAGAAGCTTGAGACCAGCCTGGGCAACATGGAGAAACCCCGTCTCTACTAAAAATACAAAATTAGCCAGGCGTGGTGTTGTGTGCCTGTAATCTCAGCTACTGAGGAGACTGAGGTGGGAGGATGGCTTGAACCTGGGAGTTGAGGCTGCGGTGAACCATGATTGTGCCACTGCATTCCAGCCTGGGGAACAGAGCAAGACCCTGTCTCAAACAAACAAACAAACAAACAAATAAACAAACAAAAACCTGTTCCAGTAATCACCAATTAGTTTGTATCAGACAAACTCTCTTGCCAATAACAATTCAAAACTTGCACAGAGAAATAGATCTCAGGAAGAAAACAGTAGTCTTAATAGGCTGATGATACAGAGGTTAGAGTTTGGGGCCTCCAGAGTTTTTCTAAGTTGAGAGGCAAAATCCAGTAACAGAGACAGTCAAATCGGGGTAAGCCTCAGATTTTGCATACAAATTTATTTCAAATCCTTGGATGCCTCCTAATTGTATAAGACTCCAAGAAAGGCTGGGCACTGGGGCTCACACCTGTAATCCCGGCACTTTGGGAGGCTGAGGTGGGCCTTCAAAATCCTTGCTCTTTCTGAAGTAGACTAGGGGCTTCCCTGAGGGGTGGTCTCACCTCACGCTGAGACCTCTGCGTGCCTTTTGCGTAGAAATATTTGATGAGGCTCCCAGGGGCCCTTAGGACCTTGGGTTATGAGGACCAGGAGCATTAGAGGACTGTGCCCCTTCTCCCCACTATAAATTGAAGTAAAGTTCTCAGTCAAGTTCATCAACAGGGAGTTCAGCTTGAAGAAGATGCCGTCCCAAAAACAGACGGGTCTTCGGAGTCA